GGGGGTTCCCAGGGGGAGGGGCTCTCTGGAGAAAAAGCTTCTGAGCCCAAGCAAGAAGTGGGCTGAGGGCTGTTTGCCCCCTTAGGACAAAATCTTTCCGCCTCTCTGAGCCTCTGATTCCTCACTGGTGAAACGGGGTGGTCATGCCCAGGCCACAAGGCTGTTGGGCAGGATTGTGGTGAGGCCTGTAAGTGGAGCGGCAGCTTGCCAGGCACGCGTAGGTGCCAGCGTGTGCTTCTCTCCCCGCCTTTCCAGGGCAGGACGGCCACGTGGGGAAGAAGGACTCTCAGAACGGGGATGTGCTGGGGGCAGGGTGATCCATGGCCCAAGAGGATGCTGGTCCTGGAGTGGTCCTGAAAATTGGGGCTGTCCTCAGAGGCTGGAGCCAGGGGTGGGGCTCTTTGAGGGGGCCACCCCCCCGGGCAGGGTAGGCAACTCCGAGGGTAGTTTCCCCCGCAGGGTGGCTGCTGGCTTGCACCTCCAATCTCCCTCTTGGTCTCTCCCACCCCACCTGCCGTTGTTTGCAGAAATACAATAATGACTGGTGGATCGGGAGACTGGTAAAGGAGGGCTGTGAGGTTGGCTTCATCCCTAGCCCCGTCAAGCTGGACAGCCTGCGTCTGCTGCAGGAACAGAAGCTGCGCCAGAACCGCCTCAGCTCCAGGTGTCTGGCGGGAAGGGGGGGGGGGGGGAATGGGACCTGCCAACCCCGGGAGAGGCCATTCAGCCAGGACCTGGCCTCAGGGTGGCCCTGAAGGCACAGAGCTGCCTGTGGTATCACCCGTGGGGTTGGAGAATCTTGGGGGCAGGGCAGCATGTGAGAGAATGAGATTCCCCCCCCCCCTCACAACCACCTCTTTAGCTCACAGTTCCATTTGCCTCTCTACCCACACAGCAAATCAGGTGACAACTCCAGCTCCAGCCTGGGAGACGTGGTGACGGGCACCCGCCGCCCCACACCCCCTGCCAGTGGTAAGAGCTGCTGCCGCCCCGGGGAGTCATGGGAGCTTCCGGGTGGGGTGGTCTCCCCACTGCCCTCCCCTTCCTTCCCCTGCAGTAGAGGGCACCCCATTCCTGAGTCCTCCACACACATCCAGGGGTCCCCTCTCCATGAAGAGTAGGGCACCCCACGAGCTGGGCCAGTCAGCACCCATCCTCTCATGTCTCTCCTCTCCCATTTCTTTGGTAGCTCCATTTCTCTGCCTGACCCCCCTCCCCCTCCCCCTATTCATTTCTCCCAGCCCTGTTCCATTCACCTCTTCTTCTTTCTTTTTCCCCCATCCCATCCCTGCGTTCTGTATTTGTGTCTCCCTGTCCATCTCACTCCTCCCCACCTCGCCGCCTCCCTCCTCCCTCTCTCTCCTGACTCTCCGGTCCAGGTAACGAAATGACTAACTTAGCATTTGAACTAGACCCCCTAGAGTTAGAGGACGAGGAGGCTGAGCTTGGAGAGCCCGGTGGCTCTGCCAAGACTAGTGTTAGCAGTGTCACCACCCCATCACCTCATGGCAAACGCATCTCCTTCTTCAAGAAGGTAATCCTTGCTGGGTTCTTGTGAGAGGGGAGGAGGTCAGGGCCCAGATCTTGGGGGTCAGGGGGGCTGGAATGGATTCAGATGTGGTAGCAGCCTGATTCTGCGAGGGATCGGGGCTTCCTGCTGAGGAGGCAGGAGGGGTGGGATGGCACAGAGGACAGGCGTGTCTATCTCCACACAAAACCCTACCCTGGCCCGCTCCACAGGAAGGGGTAGTTCTTGAAATCCAAGCACCCCTTCCCTTGGAAAGCTGCCCCCCTCCCCAACGAGGAGTAGAACCTGGTAGTAATGAAACCTGACCTTTCCCCTCACTGCCACTGTGATATCCCATGTTGCCCCCACCCCAGATGTGAAGGGGGCATGGAACGGTGACCCTTCTTTGCCCTTTTCGGACTCCATGGGTCTTAGGTGGGCATGTGGGGGTCTACTGGCTGCAGAGCAGGACAGTTAAGAGAATTCTTAAAATGGGCAGGTTGGCTGTACTGGGGCAAGAGGTGGGCACCAAATTAGGGGCTGTCAGCCTTCCCAGCTCTTCTCCAAGACCCAGAAAGAGGGTCTTGGTATGTCTGAATATTCTCAAGTCCCTCGGACTGACTGACAGTCCGGCTCCCAGCCCTGATCCAGGGCCACCTCTGGCTCCCCCTGGCATGGGGTCCCGTCCCCTCTCTCTGGCTCTGTCTGTCACTAACACGCATGCCCTGTTATCTCTCCTCGTCTGCCCGCTCTCCGTCCCTCTCTTGTCCTGGCTCCTTCCTTGCCCTCTGCCCCTGCCTGGGTGCCCTCCCTTCTCTCCCTCCTCCCCCTCTTGGCAATCTCTGGACCCAGCCAAACAGAAGCAGAAATCGGTGAGTATCACAGCTTTCTGTGTCCCCTGTCCCCACCCTTTGGGATGAGCTAGGGGGATCTTCTAACACCCATTCCCATATCTGCCCCATTTCCCTACCCTTCCTGGTTCTCCCTGCCATCCCTCCCCACCCTCACCCTGATCCCCACATCTGGGCTCTGGGACCAGCGGGAGGAACGGATGCATGGGGGAGCCTGGAGGCTGGGGGAGAGGGGCTCATGCCATCTCCACTGTGGGGTTTCCCCTCCCTGCCTCCCCTCCAGACAGAGCATGTGCCCCCCTATGACGTGGTGCCTTCCATGAGGCCCATCATCCTGGTGGGACCGTCGCTCAAGGGCTATGAGGTAGGAGCCCGTAGACGGGAGTGGACCCAGAGGGGCCCAGGCCCTCAGAGAGACTCCAGAGGTTCCGAAGGGCCCACGTTCCCGGGTATCTTCCCCAGAGGGCTACCGACCTTCAGAGAAATTCCCCAGAGGGGCCCCACCCACAGGGAGACCCACTCAGAGGGCCGAGTTCCTCCCCCCCCAAATCCCCAGAAGCGTCCTCGCAGAGGTACCACCTAGAAGAACCATTGGAATCTGAGAGCTCATTGGAGGCTCCTCAGACTCAGAAGACGCCTCCTTCCCCTAGGGTCCCATCCATTTCAGGAATTTAAGAAGAAAATGGCGTGGGAGGGTGCATCTATCCAGCAGCCCACCCTTGCTGAGTGGCTTTTTTAAACGCCTGACTTCTCCCCCACCCCACATCCCACCCTCAGGTTACAGACATGATGCAGAAGGCTTTGTTTGACTTCTTGAAGCATCGGTTTGATGGCAGGTAAGACCCCGGAGCTAGGTCCCCACTGCCACCGCAGTCCTCTCCTGCTGGGGATGGGCAGGAAGGCTTGAGTGATCATTCGGGACTCTCGGACTGAGGGATAGGAGGCAGGCCTAGAGCCTGTGGAGCAGGCAGGGCATTCTAGCCCGGCCTGAGCCCTCACTCCCTTTGCCCCATCCCCCAGGATCTCCATCACTCGGGTGACAGCGGACATTTCCCTGGCTAAGCGCTCAGTCCTCAACAACCCCAGCAAACACATCATCATTGAGCGCTCCAACACACGCTCCAGCCTGGGTGAGCCCCCCCGCTCCAACCCCCCCATCCCCTGCTTTCTGGGGCCAGACTTTCTGGGGCCAGACGTGGGAGGAGAGAGGGGGGCATCTCCAGAAGTGTTCTATCCACCGCTGCCTCCTGGGGGGCTCCCTTACGTTCCCCCTTCTCCATGACTCCATGTACCCCCAGCTGAGGTTCAGAGCGAGATCGAGCGAATCTTCGAGCTGGCCCGGACCCTTCAGTTGGTTGCTCTGGACGCCGACACCATCAACCACCCGGCCCAGCTCTCCAAGACCTCCCTGGCCCCCATCATTGTTTACATCAAGATCACCTCTCCCAAGGTGGGTGCAGAGGCCGGACCCGAGAGGGGACAGGAGCTCTCGGGAGTCCAGCTGCCCGTTTAAATCCCAGCTGCTGCTTCCTAATGATGCGGCTGAATCACCCAGCCTAACTTTCCTGCTCTGTAAAACTCCCTCACATGGATATTGTGAAGATCCAACCTAATGTGAATACTTAGTACTTAGCAAAGGTTCCGGTATAATGGACCTCATCATGTATTAGCGATTAATACTCTATAGATCTTAATATAAATGTTGTTATTAGGGTCCTGCAGGCCAGTCCCCTATCTCCGCTCTGGTTAACCTCCCACTCTTGATCCAGAACACTGGAATTCTGTGCGTGTTGTCCCAGGTGTCACCCAGCTACTTGACAGCTGGGAGGTCCTTCCTGCCTTTTGGTTTCAGCCCTTTTTGCTGCACTGTCCTCATGTGGACCTTGATGGAGATGAAATCCGTAGGATTTACGTCTTTGTCATATTGCAGCTCCATTAGTTTTCCCTCCTAGATGTTAATGGGGGAGGAACATGCAGGGCGAGTGTAGGTGAAGAAGTGGGGGTTTGAGACGCATGGAGGACAAGTGTAGGTGAAGGATTTGAAGTTAGAAGACAGCATGGGGTTCAAATCCGAGCTGTGGTTGGCTTATTAATTAGATTTTGTTGGGTTTTTGTTGTTGTTGTTGTTTTTTTAAAAATATATTTTTTTGATTTTTTACAGAGAGGAAGGGAGAGGGATAGAGAGTTAGAAACATCGATGAGAGAGAAACATCAATCAGCTGCCTCCTGCACACCTCCCACTGGGGATGTGCCCGCAACCAAGGCACATGCCCTTGACCAGAATCGAACCCGGGACCCTTGAGTCCGCAGGCCGACGCTCTATCCACTGAGCCAAACCGGTCAAGGCGGGGGTTTTTTTTTTGGTTGTTATTTTTTATTGAAATTGAGGCCGCTGACCTCCTTTTCTTCCCCTGTAGAATGGGGATTATAATCCCTCCCTGGTGTTAATTGTTGAGAGGGTTTGAGGTAATGACGTAAAGAGCCCAGAGTTTGCCCTAACTGGTTTGGCTCAGTGGATAGAGCGTTGGCCTGCGGACTGAAAGGTCCCAGGTTTGATTCCAGTACCTTGGTTGTGGGCACATCCCCAGAAGGGGGTATGCAGGAGGCAGCTGATCAATGTTTCTCTCTCATCTGTTTCTAACTCTCTATCCCTCTCCCTTCCTCTCCGTAAAAAATCAATAAAATATATTTAAAAATAATAATAATAAAAAAATAAATAAAGAGCCCAGAGTTCATGATGGCAACCAGGGGTGGTAACTGTTATTACCTCATGAGAGCACCCTGGGAGCTGAGCACCTGTTCCTTAAACTTTCTGAGTCCTAAATTTCTAATGAGCATAAAGGGGATGATGAATCTAAGTACTTCCTGGAGTCGTTGAAAGGATCCAATAAGATCGCAACAACACTTTGTGATCTAGAAAGTACCAGTAGGCCCATCCCCCATGGACGAGCAACTGACTGAAGTTAAAGATGGGGACTCTTTGAGAGTCCAGACTGCCTGGGTTTATGTCCCAGGGCTGCCACTTACCTGCTCTGTGCTCCTTTGGCAAGTCACCTGACATCTCTATGCCTCAGTGTCCTCATCTGTAAAATAGGGATCCTCAGGTAGTGATTGTGAAGATCAAATAAATGGATTAACCACGCAAAGTGGCTGGTACCTACTAAGCACTATATCTACTTTATTGTTTAAAAGATGTTTATTTGCAGAAGAGTTGCAAGAATAGCCCAAAGAACTCTCATCCTTTGAATGCCCTTCACTTGGATTTGCTAATTTTTTAACAGCTTTATTGGGATATAATTTACGTACCATTCAATTCAGCCATTGAAAGTGTGCAATTCAATTTTCTTCAGATTGACTAATTTTCAACATTTTGCCACATTTACTTTATCTTATGCATATATGTATGTATATATTATGTACACATAACGATTTGAGAGTAGGTTATAGGGATTGTATGCCTTTATCCCACCATGTATTTCTTAAGAACAAGGACATTAATCACAGTGTAATTGTCAGATTCAAGAAGTGTTATCTAGAATGCAGTCCATCTTCAGTTTTCACCAAAGCCATGTGTCCTGATTGCATTGCATCAAGAGACATATGACACTGGTTTGCTGCATCATTGGTGATGTTAGCTTTGATCATTTAGCAAAGGTTATGGGTTTGTTTCAGCTATTATTATTACGATTGAGTGAAAATGATAGTAGTGGCCACCTAATGGGATTAGTGTCGGGACTCAATGAATTGATCGTGTAAAAAGTACCAAATAGTGCCAGTACGCAGCAGGTGCCCCATAAAGCATGGCTGTTGTTAACATTAACATGGAGGGGAAGTTGGCCTCGACAATGAAGCTGTGAAGAAGGTTAGAGGAGAGGGGCTGTATGCCCTTCAGACAGCCACTGTGACGAGAACTTCTAGGACATGTTGGCATGAGAACCAGGAGAGGGCCTGGGCAGTGTGTAGGATGGATACAGAGCTGGTGAGGTGATTTCTAAAGAGGTGGCCAGGGCTGAGAGTCATCCAACATCCCCTCGCCCTGACACTGGCGCTCCACGCCAGCTTTAACCAGGGCCTGCCTCTCTGACTTGGTGCATTTCTGGGATTCCCTCTTCTCCCCCCAAACCAGGTACTTCAGAGGCTCATCAAGTCTCGAGGGAAGTCTCAGTCCAAACACCTCAATGTGCAAATAGCGGCCTCGGAGAAGCTGGCGCAGTGTCCGCCTGTGAGTGCTCAGACCCCGGGGCGGGGGGGCGGCATTTGGATTCTGGTTTCCTCTGGCCTGCATGGGAGACAGAGTGGCCAGGAACACTGGGTCCAGCGGTGCTGATGGACTTCTGGGAAGGAGTGCTGGGCAGGCAGTCACAGACTGGCTTCAAGCCCCAGAAGTACCACTTCTCTTTGGGGAGTCGAAGCCTTAAATCTAGAATGAGGGAGTTGGACTATGTGGGTACCAAGAGCCTTTGTGGTTCTGCCAGTGCCCATCTGAGAGCCCCCCTTCTCTTTCTGGACATCCGGAAGTCTCTTTTTAACTTTGCCCTTCAACCCCTTGACTCTCCGCCCACTGTGCCCAGGCCATACCCACAACCCCTAGGTCCTGCCTGGCTCATCCTAGCCCTCCCCCTAACCCCGCCTCCACAGGAAATGTTTGACATCATCCTGGATGAGAACCAATTGGAGGATGCCTGTGAGCACTTGGCCGAATACTTGGAAGCCTATTGGAAGGCCACACACCCGCCCAGCAGCACTCCACCTAACCCACTGCTGAACCGCACCATGGCTACTGCAGCCCTGGCTGCCAGCCCTGCCCCTGTCTCCAACCTCCAGGTACAGGTGCTCACCTCACTCAGGAGGAATCTCAGCTTCTGGGGTGGGCTGGAGGCCTCACAGCAGGCCGGGGCGGTGCCCCAGCTGCAGGAGCACGCCATGTAGGTACCCCCTCCTCCCACATCTCCCCTCCTGCCCAAGGCCGGGAATTGGAGAACAGGGATCATGGGGAAGGAAGGAAAGAGCTCTATTTTGTAAAAAAAATGTGGTGAGCAGCAGCTTCTGGTGTTTGTGGTTTGTTTATGGGATTGGGGCGGGCTGATGGTACTCCTTGGGCCTGGTGCCATAGGACTACATCCGCTGCCTTGGGGGCTTTTGGGTGTGAGGCCTGATTGGGGGCCCTTGTAAGTCAAGTGACTTGGAAGAAAACATGGAGAAGACTGGTAGAGTCGTTCGCTGGACTCCATGCCCATTTTAGACTCAAGAGTGGTCACAGCATTGTAGACCCAACAGAGCAGGGAATCCCACAACGCAGGGGCCTTTAAACCCAAAGCGACTGTCCCCTTCCCTAGAGCCCTAACCACAGGAGGCCCCTCAGAAGGGACCCAGAAAGTAGCATCTTCTGTGATTGATGCTGAACCTTCCATTCTTCTCCCAGTTAAACAGATTCCAGGAAAGGCCCTCCTGTGGGCGCCCTGCCCTGCCTCTCCCTCCTCCTGTGGGAGCCATGGCCCATCCCTGAGATCACATCATGACGTATTTGATTCTCCATTAGAGCCAGAAAAAAACATTCTAATCTAGACCATTGCTTTTCAAATTCGTTCACTGAGTCTTAATGTGGAAGCTCAGTAGAAGCCATCCTTGCTCTGCTCAGAGGGAGCTAGTGGCTTGGCCTCCACTTCACCTCCACGGGGACCCCTCCCACTCCACCCCGGATCTCAGGGGAACAGTTTGGAAACTGCTGCTCTCACCTCGATCCACCACAGAGAAACTGGGCCACAGGAAGGGGAGTCAGTTGCTTAGCATCACCCAACTTAAAGGGGCAGGACTAGGACCCAGGCCTCTGTGCACCCTCCCAGTGGCCTCTATGATGGACGTGGCCATCGGGTCATGTGGCATTTGATGCTGAGGACATGGGGCCACCTCATCATCTCCTGTGGGGTGGAGACCCATCAGCTTTTCCTATCCTGCTGCTTTGAAAGTCTCTGCTGGGGGCAGAGGAGGTATTCCATCATTCAACCTGGGTCAGGGAGTGTGGGGTTCTAGAACCCTCTGATGAGGGTCTGGTTTGGGCGGAAGGAGCTGGGGTTAGGGAGCTTGAGCTGAAATCCCCTGAGTGTATTTGGAAAACTGGAGCAATGACTAACCCAATCGACCACTAACGAGTGGCCATACTAATGAGCTGCTAATGATGATTTACCCCAAAACAGCATTAGTGACGTGTGTTGAGGAAGCGATGACTAATCGTTCATGGGGTCTGTGTCATGGGAGCCGGGAGAGTTCAGGCCTCCTCAGCCCTGGGAAAGTGGGGCGCCCCCTTCCGTCCTAACAAAGGAGCAAATGCCCTGAGGTCCGGGCTTTAGAGTCCTTGGCCGGGCTCCATCCCCTAGAGCGAGCCCCCTCCTCCCTCAGCCAGGCTGGTGCCGCGGTGCCAACACTAACCTGCATTGCCTTGTTGTGTTTCTCTCACCCCTGCCCGGTCTGCATGGTGTGTGCCGTCTGTCTGCTAACCAGGGACCCTACCTTGCTTCTGGGGACCAGTCGCTGGACCGGGCCACCGGGGAGCATGCCAGCGTGCACGAGTACCCGGGGGAGCTGGGCCAGCCCCCAGGCCTTTACCCGAGCAGCCACCCACCAGGCCGGGTGGGCACCGTGCGGGCACTGTCCCGCCAAGACACGTTTGATGCCAACGCCTCTGGCAACCGAAATTCTACCTACACCGAGCCGGGAGACTCGTGCGTGGACATGGAGACTGACCCCTCCGAGGGGCCAGGGCTCGGAGACCCCGCTGGGGCCGGTACCCCACCCGCCCGGCAGGGATCCTGGGAGGATGAAGAAAACGACTATGAAGAGGAGCTGACTGACAACCGGAATCGAGGCCGCAATAAGGCCCGCTACTGCGCGGAGGGCGGGGCGCCCGTGCTGGGGCGCAACAAGAACGAGCTGGAGGGCTGGGGGCGGGGTGTGTACATCCGCTGAGAGGCCGGGCCACACTGGGAGGAAGGACTCTGAGCCCAGGGGAGGGGAGGTGCAGCCCGCTCACCGCCGGGGTGTATCTGACCTCCAGGGGGCGCTTCTCTTTCAGATGCCTTTGCTCAGTGTTGGTTTTTTCTTAGTGGTAGCATCCCAGCTCCTGGGAGTCCCTTCCGCTCCAGCTGTAGGTCTTTATCTCCCTGCGGCAGGTGGATGGGGGGTGCCCACCTGTCTGCAGTGTCTCCTTTTCCCCTCCTCGGGGGTCTCTCTCCCAGAGAAAAGGTGCACTTCCTTAGCTCCTTCTACTTGGGACTCTCCATGGGTGGCCCTTTCCCACCTGGAGTAGTTGGGAAGGGTAGGGGGTTTTTCCTGGAGAGAGAGGCCACAGGCTTTTCCATGAGGGTTCTCTTCCCAAACTCCAGGCCCAGGGTCCCTCCTCATGCCCAACCCTCCCCACCCCTCTCCCCCCAGCTTTCTGGCAGCCTCGTCTGGTAGGAGGAAGCTCTGGTAGGAGGAAGCCCCTTGGGGAGGTGTCTGGGTAGAAACTGATGGGCATCAGCTGTAGTGCCATCTGCCCACCCAGGACCTAACCCTGAGGAGTGGGCAATCGGAGACGCTCCCACCCCCACCCCCCCTCCATGTCTCAGCCTTTACCTGCCCCAGGAATGAGCTTTGCCTACAATATCCCTTGCCTGCTGCCATCAGAAGAGGGGCCCTCCACGTCCCTGTGTGACTGGGTGTGGAGCCCATGGAACACTGGTCCGCCTCATTTTGAAACCAAAAATTGCTCCTTCATTCCCACCCCAAAACCCCAGGAGAGAGGCCCTTGGGGTTGGTGCCCAAGAAATGATCCCTGCCCCAGGGGTGGCCTCGGGACCACGGATCTCCCCTGGGGGGCTTGGCTGCTGCTGCTGCTGCTGCTCTGTATTTGCCTCTTGTTCTTTACCCACGTCCACTCCACTCCCCCCAGGAGAGGCCTTCCTATCCCCCTCTGACCTGAGTGTCCCTCGACCTAGCATCCCCTTAGCCCAGCAGCCCTGCCCTCCCCAGCATCCCAGCTGGGCCAGAGAGAGCCGATTGTGCCAACGAGGACTGGGCCCTGCCCGGCTGCCCACCTCAGGGATGGGCACCTCATGCCTGTCTCGCCACCTCCTGTGCCAATGTTGTCCCACCCCCCACCTGGGGGTGGGGTGCAGCTTCCACTTACTGGTTAGAAGAGACCACTGCCCAACCTTTCCCCCTCCTGTCTGGTATCATGTGCCTCCATCTGTCCGTCTGTTCGTCTTTACTCCCCTAGGAGTATTTTGCCACATATAAAACCACCATCCTGTCCTTTGCGGCAGCCTCCCAAGCCTGCTTTGTTCCCACAGGGGGGTGGGAGCGGGCGTGCAGGAGGAAGCTGTGCCTGGAGTTGTTTACGCCACAGGAGATGAGGGTGATTTGTGACTCTCTGATGCATTACATTCAGACCTGACTGAGCGGTGTAGCCCGGCTCAGTCCCCACTCAGCGCCAAACTCCGCAGCGAACCCCTCTCCCCTTAAGCAGAGCCAGGGAAAATGGGAAGCTGAGGTGGAGAAATGGGGTGTCCTGGGTGTCCTACAGTGGGTGAGATCCAGACCCACTGGCACAATGTTAAAGGCGTGTGCTTGTTCTGCTCCTCTGGCCTCAACTGCTCCCCAGCGCCTCAGGAGAGGGAGGGACTGAGTCTCGGGCTTTCTCCCCCAAAACCCCCACAACTACCCCCTACCCAGCCCCTGCTAACCAGCCTTGGGGGAGGGGCAGAGAGAATGGGGATTTCCCCAGTCCCAGCTTCAGAGAAAGATGGTCAGCAGGTGGCTGCCAGTTCCTGCCCTCAGCAGCTGGCAGGATGCGGGCTTCTGAAGGTTGTTACTGCTGTTGTCTCTCGGAGCACCTGGTTCTTGATTCTGGGGTGGTGCTGGACCTGAAGGATGAGCTCCTGGGTCTTTAACCTGAGTGCTCCTCTATTCTGTGTGCAGTTGTGTGTGTGTGTAGAGAGGGCAACAGACATCCAGACCTCCCTGGAAGAGGGGTCAGCAGACCCAAGGGGAGAGGAACTGGGCAGGCCCGCAGGTCAAGTGGCGGGCCCACCCACGGCCCTCAAGCGCTGCTGGGATTGGAGTCCGGTCTCTGCCTCCCAGTGTAGGGCTCTTTGCACTGCCTTTCAGTGCAATCCATTCCCATGTTTAACCACTGAACAAACGTTTGCTGAGCACCTACTATGTACCAGGCACAAGTCTAAATGGGAGCCACAGGTGATTCAGGACAGCACAGTGAGCTGTCTGATGGGGGGAGCACTGGGTTCTGGGGGAACCTGGGACAGGGGTCAGGGCTTGAGTCCCCTAAATCTGAGGAGACCAGGAGTAACTTCCTGAAGGAAGTAAGGCTTGAGCAGAGGCTGGCAGCAGAGGAGTGGGGGAGTGTTGAAGGCAAAGGAGACAGGTGACATACAGGATGTGTTCTTGGACTTCACTAGCAAAGCATGCTCGCACGGTGTGGTCAGAGAAGGGTCAGCAGGAGCAGGTCCCCGTGGATCTTGAGTCACGTTAAGGAGTTTGGGCTCTGTCCTGAGCTGGTGTGCAGAAATCGAAGGACTGCACGCAGCTATAGCAAGATTGCCTTGGTTGCAGTTTGGAGCAGACGGGAAGGTCTAGCCTGGAAACCTGCAGTACTCCACGTGAGGAATGAGAAGGGCCTGCACTAGACCTCAGCAGTGGAGTGGGAAAGGAGGCTGTGGCTGTCAGAGACGTCGAACAGAATGGAGAGCTGTTGAGGAGCAACTGGAGATGGTCGCTGAGAGAGAGGGAGGTGTCTAGGGTGACTGTGGGTTATAGAGAGAAAGCAAGTTAGAGGCAGAAACGATACCTAGCTTTGGACAAGGTGGGTTTATGGTGCTGTAGGAGGACAGCCCAGGGGAGAAGAGAAGAAGACAGCCGAGTGCTCGGCAGAGAGCTCCATCCTGCGTGGAGCCTGATATTTTTGTACCGAGGGCGGGATTATTAACTACCATTTACAGATAAAGCTCAGAGAGATCCAGCAGCTTGTCCATAGTTACACGGCACTGGAGCAAGAACTTGGGCTCAGATGTTTGGGTTTCAAGTTCTGTGGTGTCCATGACCCCCAAGTCTAGGGCTAACTCCCCTGCCCCAGGATGGCCCAGCTTCTGGGAGCGGAGCGGGGGAGGGAGGAGGAAACAGGTATCTGGAGATGTGTCTCTTCCCCATGTGCCTTCTGCCTGAAATTGCATTTGCCCAGAACATACAGGCAGGGGCATCTCTAGGTGGCTTGGAGATATTGGGAGGCGAGAGAGAGAGAGAGAGAGAGAGAGAGAGAGAGAGAGAGAGACTTGTCTCTTGGTAACCACAAGCCCTCAACTGACACAGTCAGCACGGGACGTCAACAACCATGAAGCTGGCTGTGATGAGGCCCAGAGAGGCTGGTTCTGCTACCACAGCCACCTCAGGGGTTCAGGAACTGAGGCATTGGGGATCTCCCCCGCCCCCCACATACACACACCTGACTGGCTGCTTCTGTCTGCAATATGTTCTGCACCAGAGCGAGCCTCAGTCCTAGGTGTGGCTGAAGGTTTCCACCAATCAAGAATGAAATGAGCTGAGCAGGGCCACGACGGCCCAGAAGCGAGGGGGTGTTCCGGTCCAACACTCTAGAGCGAAAGCCTGACTTAGCTCCCGTGATCACACCCTCAGAGAAGAGTGCCTTGGCTCCCTTCTAAATCGGGCCTTCCCATCTACGGCCTCCCAGGGTTGGTTGGTGGTTTGTTTTTGTGGGTTTGTTTTTGGTATGTGTATTTGTCTCCCCACTAGACAGTAAGCTTCCTAAGACCCAGACTGGGTCTGTTTTGTCTACTTGGCATGTTTCCTACCTCCTGACTCATATTCGTCAAATGAATGAAAAGTGAATGAAATGCCCCTAAGATCCAGCTCTGGGCCTCAAGGAAGGCTGGGCTCTGGTCTGTTTACTGAATGTGCTCCAGCTGGCCGAATGTCACTTTCAATTCTGCAAGTGGTGGTGGTGGCGGAGGAGGCAGGGTACACTAACAGGTCCCCCCCACCCCCAGGAAACAGATGGTGAGAATGCTTAACACATTGCTGCTTCCCTCAGCACCTCCTGTGCCCTCACCCTCCTATGCCCTCACCCCCCTGCACCCAGCCGCAGCCCCAGCTCCTTTTTGTAGGGCCGAAATGAAATCAGCCAGATGGGCTCTCCGTTAGCCAATTCTTCCTTCTCACTCTGCTAGGAATCTGGGGGGTGGGGGGTGGGGTGAATGAAAATTCTGTATTAATTGAATTCTTTTCTCTCTTCTCTTCACAAACTTCCCTGTCTTCCTCCATGCTCTTCAACTTGTACTCACACTTTCTTTTGTTTAATACTCCAAAACCATTTCTCAGGTTGTAGCTTAACTCACTGTACTTCAATCCAATAGCAACACATTCCTACTGTGGGCCGGGCACTGGACCAGGTGGGGGGCACACAGGTGAACAAGACACGAACCCCGCCCGCTAGGAATCACAGATGGTTGGAAGAAACAGGCATGTCAGTCCAGTCCGCAGTCTCAGTGTGGAGAGAAGCCCCATATGGCTGGAGAACCAGGCCGGAGCTTGGCAAGTAGGTGGCTTTTATGGCAGGCAGCCAATGGGATGGGGCTCAGGAACCCTCCTTTCTGAAAAAGGGAAAGGCGTTCAAGTGGAGGAAATGCAGAGGTAAAAGCACAGTTGGAAAGAGCTGTGCCTGTGTGAGCAAGGACCGTTGGAGGCAAACATGGGAGATACGCTGCAAAGGCAGATGGGGGCTATTCATAGAGGTTCCTGAATTTCAGGTGAGGAGACTGATCTGAATCCAGTGGGCACTAGGGAACCATTGAAGGTTTATGAGCTGTGGAGTAACAGACTGGGAAGGTTAACAGGACTGAGGGCTGTGAGGAGATGCCTGGGAAGGGGAGACAGAGGCAGGGAGACCCTTAGAGCAGAGGGGTGGGAGGAGCCAAGTGCCCTGGGTGATGGCTGGTGTCTCCTAACTGCCCTGCAGCCTACTGTTGGTTTGCCTTCCCCACTTCTCTTTTTGTTTTCTGGTTTTCCCCAGTTTAAGCAAGAAGGAAATTCACAAACATCAACAAGCGGCTCCCCCTTCCTGTTCCTCCTCTGCCGTGTCTTAGTATCTGGAATCCCTCTGTAGGGTTTGTGGCTGAGAGATGTCTTTTTTTTTGCTCCATCCCTGTCTTCGGATGCCTACCCTCTGGGTTCAGGGAGCTGTGCCTGAGCAGTCGGGTTGTCAGTAAATCATAGAAGTTGCCTGTCACCCAAGGGACCTGCAAAAGGAGGGAGACCCTAGGGAACTACAAGACCCACACAAGTGAACAGCTAGAGATCTGTTGAGGGTCAAAATACTCTCCCAGCTCAGAGAGAGGGGATCAGTGAGCCCTGTCTCCCCCACACAGCTAGTAGGTGGAGAAGGTGGGTGGCCAAGGGTTTTGCTTTAGCCTCATGATCCAGACATGGCCTTGGAGAAGGAAGAGCTGGGACACGGTCATGGAACACGGTCTGAGTCTCCTGGATTGGCAGTGGGGGAGCAGTCCACCCAGAGAACTCTGGGATTTTCTCAGGAGGATGGGGAGGATGTGGAGTCTGGGCTCCACTTTCCTTGCACCTCCAGGGCTCTGGACAGTAGTTTGTTGTCAACCTGACGTCCATAGCATCCCTGAGGGCTCAGCGTTTCAGGGAATTCCCAGGCCCTGCAGGAGACTCAGGAGGCTCCCGTGACCTCATAGACCCCGTCTGGCCCTCCCCCGGGGGCGGGGCTCCAAGCGCCCGGGCTCAACCCCGGCCCCCCCGAGGGCCACTGAGTCCTGCACCTGCTCGGCCCCGGACGCGCCATGGGACAACTGATGGCCAAATTGATGGGCATCTTCGGGAAACAGGGTAAGGGGCGCCCAGGGCATCCAAGTGATCGCTTTGATCCGGCTCCCACCAGGTCTCCTGGGATTGGGATGCGCTGGGTAACCTAGGACCGGGAGGGTCCTGCACGGGCGCCCCGAGCCCGACGCGCAGGCTCCCCTGCCCCTTCCCTGCCGGCTCCTCGCGGGTCGCGGGTTTCGGTGCGCCCCGGGGCACAGGCTGGGCGAGCTACATCCTCGGGGTAAAAGCCGCCGCCGCCGGCTTCTTGCGATCGTGACTTCGCGCTCGGTTCTTTCCCCGACCCCTCCGGGTCTTGACAAGCCCTGAGCTCCCCGGACCCTTCAGACAATCCCTTTTCTGGAATTGTGGAGCGAGGGAGGTGGGGCTGGTGTGCGGGGCCGTGGGAAAGAAACCTGTCCTGTTGGTCCCCCCCCCCTTTTTGGGGGGTGAGTGGGAGATGGGGGTGGGGGAGCAGAAGTGGTACCGTGGGGAAGTCCCCCAGCCTCCTGGGGACACTTGTCTCCTTCGTGGGCGGTCTGGTGGGTCCCACAGTCCCTTGGTCATCGCGTTGGGCCCTGACCCTGCCCTCCCCTCGGATGCCTGCAGAGCACAAGGTTATCATCGTGGGCCTGGACAACGCAGGAAAGTCCACCATCCTCTACCAGTTGTAAGTGACTCCCGGGGTGGGGGGCGGGGCTTGTGCTTTTCCACCAGACTGACAAACACGTGGGCCAATCACCGGAGCTCTTCCCTGGGTTCCCGGGAGGAGTGACTTGGAGAACGCTAGTGGGACCTTCCTGGGATAGTGGCCCCTCACTCAGTTCAGTGGCCCCTCGACCTGGCATTCGAATGCTGCTCGGCATGGGCAACCCCACTGCGCCCCGCCATCTGCCCCCGGCCCCTGCCAAGCTCGGCTACAGGCTGAGGCTGGTGGGCAGGCAGGTTCCTCCCGCCTCCCTGCTCTTCTCTACCCCCTAGCGGCGGGTCCCCTCTTTTCAACTCCTGCGCTCCCTCCACCTTTGCATCTTTGCCTTCCTTCTGCCAACCCTAAGGGAGGGCCAGCTTTGGGTCCGCTGGGCTCCGTGGCCCCTGGTCCGGCAGAGTCCGGCACATGTGCTGAGTAATAACCCATCGGAGTTTCCCCCGAAATTCACTCCCCGGATGGTATCTCTCCTGTTCTGGAGCCTCCAGAGTGTTTACTTAGGACAGATTTTCTCCCCTGAAAAAGTGACACATAGAAATGGTTTCTAAAAATGAGAAGAAAAGAAAAATCCTAACAGCACAGGAGTATACAGTGAAAAGGACGTTTCTCTCTCACCTCTGACTCCAAGAGCACAGGGAGTGACTTCCCAGATCTCCCGGAGGAATCCCTTGCAGGTGAAAGGGTGTGTGTTTTCTGTCACTGTAGCCAGAGCACCTTTCGGATGGCCCTCACGAGTGTCTGTCTCGTTTGTCTAATCTCTCGCTACTCAAAGTGTGGCCCACAGACCAGCAGCGGTGGAGCATCTGGAAGCTTGTTAGAAGTGCAAAGCGCTGGGCCCCAGCCCAGACCCACTGGATCAGAATCTGCATTTTAACAAGGCTCCCAGGTGATTCAGCTGCATATCAAAGTTTGGGGAGACTGTTCGATTAAGTCTCCCCTCTCTGGGGTCCAAGCCAGGGCAGGACTTGGTCTCACTCCTGCTCAGCAGAGGCTCGGTCAACCTGGGCTGATTTCTTCGGAACTAGATTCAGCCTGACTTAGGAGCAGAGGGGTCGGAGGTGAGAGCTGTGAGTGAGCTGGGCTGAGCTCTTGGTACCCTCTCCTACCCCCCCAGCCTGATGAATGAGGTGGTCCACACATGTCCCACCATCGGCAGCAACGTGGAGGAGGTTGTTCTGCGAAAGACCCACTTTCTCATGTGGGACATAGGGGGCCAAGAGGCTCTGCGCTCCACCTGGAACACATACTTCTCCAACACGGAGGTGAGGTGGGCCCGGGGCTGGAGGGGCTGTGTGCTGTGTGACATTAGTCAGTGACTTAACCTCTCTGAGCCTCGGTCCCCCCACTGAGTTGTTGTGAAAATTGAATAATACAACAATAGCTAATGCATGCCTGTCAAATACTTACACAGCACAGTGCCTGTGGGCATGTTTGAATACTTCCTAGCAGCTTTGTCTGCTGGCTGGCACTTTTCCGTTTGATGCACTGGATGGGGTAGACCCTTGTCTCCGGGGGTTTCACTTACTCACTCTGGAAGCAGTAGAATCCAGTGGTTTCACTCCTGGAACGAGAAAGCCGAGTTTAAATTCCAGCACTCCACTCACCAGGTGTGTGGCTGAGGGCAGGATATGTCACCTTGCTGCACCTCAGTCTCCTCATCTGTAGATGGGGATAATAATACAGTTGACCCTTGAACTTTGAAAAACTTTGGGTTTGAACAACATGGGTCCACTTATCTGTGAATTTTTTCAATATATAGACAGCCAGCCTTCTGCGTTCCTGGGAATGGCACTGTGGTTGAGAGTCCGTTGTTCTATGCCATTTTCTAGAAGGGACTTGAGCATCCGTAGATTTTGGTATGCACAGGGGCCCTGAAACCAGTCCCCTGCAGATACCGAGGACTGAAGTTTTGGGGAGTCCAAAGTTATATGTGGATTTTCAACTGTGTGGGAGTTGGTTGCCCCCATTCCTCGCATTGTTCAAGGGTCAACTTCAGTGTCAGTTCCAAAGGGCTGTGGTGAGGCCTAAATGGACTCATGAATGCCCAGGGCATAGCCTCTGGCAGGAAATCTGAGGTCATGCTGTATATTCCAGGTGTCTGGTTGGAAAGGGGAATTAAAATGAGACTAGAACAAAAACAAATAAATGTAAGACAAAAAAAATGGAACTAGGGCAGTGAGATCTTGAGACTGGAGAGTTTGTTTTCTGTGGGACTCGCATCAGGGTAGTGCAGAGGCCAGCGGGGAGCACAGCTGGGCAGAGGGCACCTTCACCAAAGGGAAAGCCCACCACTCATGGTCCCCCTCTGCTGGCCAGTTCATCGTCCTTGTGATTGACAGCACGGACCGGGACCGGCTGCTGACTACTCGAGAGGAGCTGTATAAGATGCTGGCCCACGAGGTAAGCCCCCTGCGGCTCCCTGTGTCACCTCAGCTTACTCATGTGGCCTCTGAGCTTCATTCCTGTGACTTGGTCTCTGAGAGCCTCTAGCTCAGCAGCTGGGGCAGGGCTAGTTTATCTCAGATGAAGGGCGATAATGCCTGCAGCACAGTTGACCACAGAAGCCAAAGTTGCTGGTTCAGGTTCTGAAACCATGTCCCACTCACGGTGGGACCCCAGGCAAGCCACTTTGCCTCTCTAATTCTGTTCACCCAATTATAAATTAGGGAGAATCATCCGCTTCCTGTGTCATGGGACTGTTAGGGACTCTATGAGCTGGCTTGGAGGCATCTGTGAGCTGTCAGTGTCATTTGCTGGGGTTGCTATGTTGGGACAGGCCCCCATGCCCACCCCACTTGGGCTTGGGCTTCTCTTGCTGGGGCAGCAGGGGAGCCAGGGGACACTCAAGGGCCACTGGGGAGGGAGGCTGGGCCCTGGAAGGCTGACGGGCTGGGCTCCTCTGTCCACAGGCTCTGCGAGATGCTTCTGTCCTGATCTTTGCCAATAAGCAGGATCTGAAGGACTCCATGACCACCGTGGAGATCTCCCAATTCCTCACCCTGAGTGCCATCAAAGACCACCCATGGCACATACAGGGCTGCTGTGCCCTCACCGGGGAAGGGTTAGTGGCCATCCCACCTGGACCTCCTGGGACTGGTACCAATGAATGACTGACCATCAGAATATCCTTCCCACAGCTGAGATGCTGTGGGTGAGCCGTGAGCAAGAGAGCCCCTGCTCTCAGGAGCTTGTTCTAGTGGGGGGAGAGGCGACAGTCCACCCCCCGCCCCCCACGTTTTAGGTGCTCACAAGTGCTATGAAGAACGTGAACTTGGACCACAGTGACAGAGGGGTGGGGATGGGTCTGGTTTAGCTCTGGTGGCGAGGGGCAGCCTCTACTAAATGTCTTTTGAGCTGAGATCTGAATGAAGAGGAGAGAGCCATGGGAAGACCTGGGACAAGCCTTCGAGGCAGAAATCACGACTCTTTTTGACCGTGGGTTTCCTCACCTCTAAAGAGGAGGGTGATTAAATCTACTTCCTCCCAGAGTTTCTGTAGAGAGTAAATGATACCGCTCATTCACGTGTATTAAGCACCTACTTGCGCCAGGCACTGTTCTAGGCCCCTGGAGAAACACCGGTAAACAAAACAGACCAAAATACCTGCCCTCCTGGAGCTTACGTTCCCGTGGGGGTGGGGGGAGGAAACAGACAATAAAAATAAAAATATATGTATTAAGTTAAAAAGTGCTAAGTGCTTAGGGGAAGTCAGGTAGGAAAGAAGATTGGAAGTACATGGAGGTGGGGGGATGTTGCAACCTTAGATAAGCTATCTGGGGAGGGGCTGCTGAGAAGGGAGCTGCTGAGCAAACACCTGAAGGATGTGAAGGTGCTAGGTCACGGTCACGGTCACGGTCATGCAGAAAGGGCCCATATCAGGTCTGGAGAGAGCCCTTCCCTTTTCCTTCTCAGGTGGAATCACAGAGGCCAAGGACCTAGATGGCTGATTAAAGAAGGGGAGGCTTTGGTCAGGCCAGCCAAGGAGCCACACATTTCCCGTGGTCTCTTGCTACCTCCTGGGTCAAGAGGACCCCCTCGCGCCCCCCCCCCCCCAGTCAGTTCAATTCAACCAGCATTTCCTAAGTACCCCCATGTGCCATGCACTGTGCCAGGTGATAAAGTCATGACCAAGACCACCCTATCCCCCCCACCTTTCATTCTGGTGTTGCTAACAGTCTAATGGGAGAACTTGCTTATGGGGGTCTCTTCCCAGGCCTTTGAAGTCACCCTGGCCCTGCCTCCTTCGATGGAGCGGGTGGGAAGGGGGCGCTAGAGATTTGCCCAAAGACATTGCTAAGGTAGGTCTCCAGGCCCCTTCCTTAGAGAAGTCCCGCTGATTCCCAGACTTCCAGAGGCCTCTGTACAGCTCCTTCCTAACCTTTATTACAGTATGTAGTGATGGAATTATTTGGGTGATCATTTGTTTAATATCCACCTCCTCTGTAGGATGTAAGCCCCAGAGGGCGTGTCTGTTTTTTCACCGGTAACCACAGTGCCTAGCACAGTAGCTGGTGCATAGTACATACTCAGTCTGTTTATATTATTATTTTGTGTGTGTGTGTGTGTGTGTGTGTTTTTGTTTATATTATTGACTGAAAGATCGCTGTAACGTCAGTTGCCACATTCAGTTGGCTTTGGGCAGGGGCTGGGGGCTTGAGGGCCATCATCCTCATGGGATATACTGATCTTGCTCTGTCCCTCCCGTCCTGCAGGCTGCTTGCTGGGCTCCAGTGGATGCAGTCTCGGGCCACTGCCAACTGATGTCCCAGTCGGAGGCCAACCGGGAACTTCGGGGTTTAGCATGGACTACTCGGGTGGAAAACCCAAGTGACTATTTATTACTTTTCTACGATTCTCTGGTGGGAGCAGGGGCAGCTACGGACAGGGAGAAGCCGCTGCCCACCTAACTCCCCACAGAGGAGCTAGACTGTACACTCTGAATTGCCGCAGACAGGACAGCAGGTAAAGCTG